CCCCAAAACCCCAAAACCCCTAACTTCCTATTTTAAGCATTCAGGTATAATTTAAAATTCAAAATTAATATTATCAATTATAATCTCTTTTTAATTTTACAAATGAGCAGTGAAGTTGACAGTTTTCTACAGCAAATGCGCGAGAACACTTAGGAATTAAGTGCTTTAGAGGAACTTGGGCTATACATGAACAAAGTCAATGATATTCATTCAGTCGAATCAAATAAAGTCCATGATGAACTCAAAAGTAAAACTATTTAAAAGTAATGAATAAGGTTCATCTTTGTAATTGCGGGATCTAAATACGCAAGAAAGAGACTTCTATGAGAATTCAAGAATATTTCCATACAAGCCAAAACTAAAGTCTTTTGATATGAAAGACTTACAATCAAATTTACAAGAATTCATAAATCTACATAAAAAAATGCATGAATTGTAATATTTCTGATTTCCTTACAACTTCTTAGAAATAATATCAAGGTTTAGAACTACGGGAAGTCTATTCTAAATAATTTGGAGAAAAACACCTAAAACTATCAGCAATAAATAGAAATACTCAGGAAAAATCTGATTAAAGCTTAGTAAATTAATTCATTAATGAGCAAATAGGATGGAATTAGAATTCTATAAAGATACTCTTGGATTTGAATTAGAGCCAATTTAGGAAACAGATGGATTAGAGTACAAGATAAGTATTAATGGATAGGTCTTAGTTGAAAAAATGAAGCTAATTTAATTGAACAGGGAGAGATAGTCAATCGATACCCTTAAGATGATACAAGAAAAAAATCCATCTAAGAAATTACAAGGTTATAGAAGTAAATTTTTAGACATCATCACTTCTAACTATGATGTTTAGCGGACAAGCGATGATATTTGAACAATTAATATATGGTTAATTAAATCTTAAGCTTAATTTCATAAATATTCTCAAAGAATTAGAATTAAGGATTTATAATTTTTACAATAGTTTTAGATTAGATGCCATCTAAAATATAGATGAGTTTCTGAAATTTAGATATTCAAAACAGGTTGAAGATAAAGATTTATTTTAAATAATCTTAGTTTCTTTAAATAGTCGCATTTTTTGTCAATTAAAACCATCAAAATCCTTCAAACATTTTAATGATGAAAATCAAAGATCTTCAAGAATATTCGGACATTTAACTAACTTACTAAAAGATAGAGGGATATTATCAAAATAGCTATACTGTGCAATACTATCTATAATGAAATAAATAATAATAGATTATCCAAGAACTTAACAGAAACCTAGCTTACCTAAAATATTCAGAGGATATTTCCTTGGTAGTAGTATGAATATTTAAAAATCAAAAAGGATCCAATGAACCCAAACAAAATACCCAATAAAAAAAGATCATGAAACAAGATAACTAACAATATAATAATCTCAGTTATTAGAATTCATCACCAAGTATTTGGGAATGTATCTTAGAAAGAAAAAAATATCATAGATAATAATAATTTAAATGAGAATCCCTAATCTTCCCAAAGGCAACCTCAACACTTATAATTCTAATGCAAAGGTGGTGAAGAAGAAGATGACGAATACTGAAATCATATAGGCTATCGATACAACCTAAATGAGACGAATAATTCTGTCATTGACTTATTAGCATATTTAGTTGCTTGAAATAGCAAAAAATTAGTTAAATTATATTTTAATATATAATCTACTAAAATCAAAAAAATCTCATGCAATGGGGTTTTGGGGTTTTGGGGTTTTGGGGTTTTGGGG